GTACATGGGATGGTCAAGTACGTGGGTTCTGGAGTCAGACTCCCAGGTTCACATCCTGAACCCACCACTCACTGGTTGCGTGTTAGGCAAATCACATAACTCTGGGACTCAGTTTACCCATCCACGAGAAGGGGGCAATAGTGGGGTTCCTCCCTGATAAGAGAGGTTTGGAGGGTTAGATGAGATTGAGCTGTGTAAGTGCTTAGTGTCAGGTACATAGAAAGTCCCAAGTAAGTGTTGCTATTTGTATTTATTTTACGAGATATCTGTAATTACCACATTCATAATGAGACATAGCGAGACACTGCTACCATTTGTTGAAAAGGTCTCGAAAACACCTGAGTAATTTGGCTGGATCGGATTGCATTTGTAGGCTAATTCTGATCTCTATTATTTTGTTTGTTTCAATGTATAATTCTGCTGTTCTCTAAAAATGTATTTTACTGCTTTTTCTGAAGGACTAGGGCTATCATTTTGGAGGTGTTTTCCTTCCACCTGACAAGCCTGGAGGACCCAGCAGCAGAGCTAGGTTAGGGAGGAGCAGACACCCTCTCCCGTCCCCACCGCAGGTGCCAGGCCATGCCACCCGAGGTGGACTTGTCCACTGGATGTGTGGCCACGTTTCAGGTGAAGCCTTGGACTGATCTTTAATATCTGAAAGTGAACCTAAATAACTGTTTTTATAATCAATTACCAGAAAGCTATTACATCTGCCAGGCAGCCATCAGGGGTCAGGGAAGAGTCACTAGAACAAAGTAAGCTATTTTCTGTTTAGACATCAGTGAGCTCACCTGTTCCACACAGCAGTGACACTTGTGGGGGCTCATCCAGTGGTCTCTAAGAATCAGGGTGTCACACAAGGTGTGGGGGTGAACATGTGTAGGCCATCAAACACAAAAATAGAGCCTGGAGGGTGTGCTCACACATACACACATACATATACACATATATACACATATACAATACATGATATATATTTATATTTTCATAAATTTGAAATATTTCTGTTATCTTATATATAATATATAATTATACATGTAATATATTTCATTATATCATCTATATAATTGTTCACATAAGTACTATAAAATAGAAGTAGGCATAATAAGGAAATAGAGGAGGCAGGTTGAGTGGGGCTGATTTTAGTTAACAGTGATTTCTTCCATGGGTAGGGCACTTGACACCTTTATAAAATGCTCTCATAATCTCCATCCCTCTTGCTCCTGGAGGGATTACTCCTATCTAAAGGTAAGGAAACCAGAGCTCAGAAAAGCCAAGGGACTCCCAGCTGGATGACCTTTCCCTACCCGAGCCAGCATGAGGCCAGTCCAGCTAGAGGTTTCAGCTTTCTCTACGATCCTAAATTAATTTCGGGACCCAAAGTCAATACATTACTGGAAGCTGGTGCTTATGGAGCCTGGCCACAGTGTTGAAAAGAGGGGTTCTATTTCAGCTCTATCATGCGGCAGAGCGCTGCTCCCTCCACTTCAAGGAGAATAGTCTTCCAGCCTGAAACCCGGTGGGCAGGAGTGGGGATTCCGCTGCTGTTGTGTGTGTCACCTCTGTCCAGTGGCAAGCTGAGTAAGGAGACCATCACCAATCTAATTCTTCTCAACAAACTAGGCTGAAACATCAAGCCTTGCCTGCTCTGAGTTAAAAGTTCATAGATGAATCATAAGTTTGAAAGGATCTGCTCAAAGGAAGACTGTCCATGACTGCACTCCAAGGTTTCACAGAACAACCAGTCCCTTTCTCTCGAGGAGACGGCAGCTGCAGCATGCTGGGAACCCCCAGGAAGGGCAAATGTGTCTGGGATTTCAATTCAGCAAGCTCAGTGTGTAAACCCTTAGCAGGCACCTTCCGTGCTGTGCAGCTAGGACGGCCTAGATGCCCAGCGCTTTTGAAACCAATGGCATGGTGGCTGCAGAGAGCCCCTGCATTTTGCACCTTTAATGCTACTAGAGTATTCCTTCCTTTGGGGCTGAAGATGAGAAAGAGTTTGGATGCCTTTTTTAAAAAATGACTATTTTGGAAGCAGCAGGTACTTCTTAGAGAGGAAAATTATATTTAGGAAAATAGTTTGAAAAGCCATTTGGGGCAAAGAGAGCCGTGGGCACAGATGTCAGCAGGAAGCAAGGATGGGCGGAAGGTGCCCCCAAAAGGAGGGAGAAAGGAGTTGGGAGGAGGCAGGGAGGTCAGGGAAGATGAAAGAAAGTCAAGTAGAAAGGGCTGGGGCTGGTGTAAAGATCTGGCAGGTGGAGGAACCTCCAAAGGGGTAGAAGAGCATCTTGAAATGGGGGTGTCTATTCCATAGACACTGGACGGTGTACACCTAATATAAACGTCAGTCTTCTGAGGTCACAGATGCTTTCTGGCCTGCCTTGTACAAAGCACAGAGAGGGTGCTGAGCTCCATCTGGCTCATGACATTTCAGAACAGCGCTGCCCACTAGATCTTTCTGTGATGATGGGAATGTTCTATCTGCACTGTCCAGTAGGGAAACCTCTGCTCAAGTGCGACTACTCTACACCGAAATGTGGCTAGTGAAGCTGAGCTGAATTTTTAATTTTGCTTCAGTTTAACCGCCTGGTCTGGGCTTCCATACTGAACAGCACAGGTGTGGGTGTGGTCTCCCCAGAAGGAAGAGGAACTCTTCCAGGTGACCCTGCAAATACAAGCACCCGGGGATTCGCTGAGATCTTGGGGGAGGCTTGAGAGTTAAGATGGGAATGGAACTGGGGTATCAGAAGGAGGGGCAGAGCTAAATCAATTTCACCCCATCATGATGAGGTCAAGGCAAACCCCAGCTGACGACAGGATTACAAAAGTATTCGAGAAAGACAGAAAAGAAGTGCCTGACACAGACAAATCTGAATTCCTAGAAATGATAAGCATTTTTGTTTGTTTTTCTTTAAGCATGAAGCTGACAAGTGGCTGTTTGTGCACAAACATCTCATAAAGCATTTGTAACAGCAGTCATCCTGGCACCTGGTGGGCGTTGCTAAATGTCTGAGCTACGGGATGAGTGAGTGAATGAGCCGAACTCCACAACATCCACGCATGGCCTGAAAGCATTTGAGTCTCCCGACATCCCCGAGTGAGATAGGGGTTAAACCCCATTTCACAGCGGAGGGGCTGCAGCTCAGGGAAGTCAAGTGGTGCCCAGGAGAGTCAGGATGCTTGGCTGGTTCTGCACTGCACCCACTGGACTCCCCGATGCCCTCTGCTCTTCCTTCTTTCACCCTTGGCGGGGCTCTCAGACCTCCGCCCCAGACCGGGAGCCGCTCCAAGACAGGCTCCCCTAGGTCTCCATACCTGATCCGGTACCCACACACAGCCTGTCTCAGCCAGCATAGACGGACTGAAGACATGGGTGAATGCAACAATGAAGGAAGGAGGTTGTTCACTGACTTTTTTAAAAACCCTTTTCACTTTGGAGAAAGAGTTAATACATCACACAAGCATTTTCCCTTCCAAAGTTTCAACAGGAGCATCTTCCTGCTTATTGATGGACCCAGTTCTTAGTTACTCTGTTTTGGACTCCAGCATGGCTGGTGCAGGCCTGCTCTGCTCTTTGTTTTGTTTTCCTGCCACTGATTTATCTGTGGGGGATCTGCAAAGGGAATTCCCAATGCTTCTACACTGACCTCTTTCTGCCACTTTGGTCCTTGTTATGACGCACTCACAAAACTGGCAAGCACCAGCAGTGCAAAGCAGGCCTGCTTATTTTATTTTTTAGCAGATGCTGAACGAATTACACAGAGAGCATACAAACACTAATTCGAAGGAAACCTGCACGCCTGTGTTTACAGCAGCACTATTAACAATAGCTAGGATAAGGAAACAACCTAATTGCCCCAGAACAGATGAGGGGATCAAGGAGATGTGGTCTCTATACACAATGGAATACTACTCAGTGATCAAAAAAGATAAACACACACCATTTGCAACAACATGGATGGAGCTGGAAGGGATTATTATAAGTGAAATAAGCCAGAAGGAGAAAGAGAAGTACCAGATGGTTTCACTTATATGTGGACTCTAGAGAAACCAAACAAAGGATCAGACAAAGACAAACTCTAAGACCGAACCTAGATCTGAGACATCAGGAGGGGAAGAGAGGAAGAGGGTGAGGGGTGGAGTAGAGGACAGGGCAGGAGAATATGTTGGAGGACTGTGGGTGCATTGGTGGTGGGAGAATTATGGTGACCTCACCTGAGGGGAGAAGTCCTGCACTGTGAAGAAAATAAATAAGGATGTTTAAAAAAATAAAAATAAATTTTAAAAATTACGCAGAGGACAAAAAAGCTAACGGAAGTCACAAGAGCTCACAGGTACTGATTCAAATTAAATTGGTAATTTGGGGGATTTTTAGTTATCAAATCAACAAATGGTTAGTCGTAAAGAGAGCTCTAACAGCTTTTCTTGGCCTGGTAAATATGATCTGTCATTAACGACTTTGTGTAGACAGAGCCCTAAGTGTGGAATATATCCAGCATGGATAGAAAACAGTCAGGCCTGAGATGAAACTGCAAACAGCAATCACAGACCCCACCGCCTCAAGCTAATGGCACGTTGTCGCAGCCCAGCTTCTACGCAGCTTTCACATCCCCATGCCAGGCAGTCTGCCCACCCCAGGCTCACTGACACACACAACACACTTGCCACCTGAATACTGACCTCTTCGAGAGAGGCAGTTACCTTCTGCAAATTAAGTCCAAAGGAAATTCAAATTAGACAGTCACGTTTTGTTTTCTGATGTATTGGAATTATTCAACATTTTTCATACTTTGATGTTACCTTGTTTTGGTATTAGGTTTGGTGTTATTTTGTAAAGCTGACGGACGCATTGCAGCAGTTACCAGTGTACATGCAAGGTAAGTATTTACTCTGACCACCTTAACCACAAGCAATTTAGCTGTTTTAAAATGTTTGTGGACTGTGTATGAATTCCTTCAAAGAGAGGAAGAAGAGGCGTAAGCCTGGCAAGGCCGACTCACCTTCCCAAAGCTGGCCGCGTTGACGGGCTGGGTGTCGTTCTTCTCGCAGAAGTCCAGGTAGTGCATGTAGAGGGCGCTGCGGGGGATGCACACCCCCTCTGCGATCTCGTAGTTCTCCTCCAGCCTAGGGAACAAAGGCCCAGTGAGCAAACCCCAGAAAGGAAGGGGCTGTTCTTTGGAGCCGTTCTCTGGAGCCTGGCAGACCTTGGGAACAACATTCCTCCCACAGATGGGGAAACTGAGGCTCAGGAAAACAAAGCAGACTGCCGAGCTCATGCTCAGACTTAGCTGGTTGGCAGGTGCAGACCTCTGGCCCTTTGCGTATGACCTCAGGTCACATTTCCAACCTGTGCTGTCAGTGGATGCACATTCCAGGTAGATCAGGCTCCCCCCAGCTGCAGAAACAAGAATCTGTGTCGCCCCACAGAGCCAGGATGTGAACTCCCTATGCACTTGGGTGGTCCTTTCCAATAGGTGTTGAAATCCTGCAGCATCTTGGCTAATAAGAGCAGTACAGTGGGAAAGCCGGGGAAGACAATGCCCAGGGGGAGAATGGGCAGAGGAACAGTCACGATCTGCTGACCCAGGAAGGTTTTACAATCACAGGAGGGAACAGAACCTCTTCTTTAGGATCACCTTCTCCTTTGCTGTTCTCAGAGTCTTAAATTCTATGCCTGTTAGGAGTTCAGTGAAGGGGCTTTAGACTGAAATTCAAATCCAAGCTAGATACTTGCAGCTTTGGTAACCTCAGGCCTCCGTACCATTTTGGAGGCGATGACCCTAACTGCCTGAGGAGGTTTTTGTGACACCAAGATGTCATGTGCCAGGATGGTAGCTGGCACATGGATATCAGACCTCATCATTCATTTCTCCTCCCCATAAGATCTTCTGGGGGTGCCTATATGTCCAGAACCTGTGCTAGATATTAGGCAGATAAAGTAAACTAGATACCACTCATTTTTCCTTCTTTAACCTAAATACCAGAATGGAGGCATCTAAGAGAACCCTGCCTTTTTTGTCACAGACCCACTGGGGGCACATAAATATTTCGGGACACATAACAATGTGTGAACTTCTCTTTGGGCCCACTGCCTTCCGAGTCTCAGTTCAATAAATCACCAGCAGGAAGGATTTCTCCTGTGATCACCCATTGGATTTTAGGAAACAACATGGAAAACCAAGTTGGAGGGATAAGGAAACTGGAATAACCCTTTTCTCCCAAACATTGTTGTTTTTTTTGTGTGTGTGTGTGTGGGGGGGGTTAAAATTAAGGCATGATTCTAAAGCAATGAAATAAATGTCCTCAAGTGGCTTCTAACTTTCTCCGAGGGCACTTGCCAAAGAAGTGGTCCAGCGATGTCGTAACTGAAGTGGAATGAGGACACGGCCTCCCGAGGTGCCCACTTGAAAGGGCAGCACTCACTTGACTCACTCCGACATGTTGAAAGGAGATCAGTTCAATCGTTTCGTATCCAAACCCCATGGATGAATACAACCCTAGGGAGGCTCGGATAAATGAAGAAGTCTGTGCCGAGCAGTTCCAGGTCATCACACCCACGCCCCCCGCTTCTGGGAAGGGGAATACTGAGTAACCCCTGACAATTTTTAGAAGTGTTCCAAGAAATAGTTGATGCAATCCTTTCCAGGCAACCTCATTCCTTGAGGCCGGGACAGTGACTGATTCACTTGTACGTCCTGGAAGTCCAGCATGTTCCTTGGCATACAACAGGTGCTCAGTATATGAACCTGTGACTGAGACATAGATTCATTCAACATAAATTCATTCAATGAATATTTATCTCTTATCATCCACCATGGGGATTCCACAGTGAGCAAGATGGTCCTTGTTTGCATACAGAGGACAGGTGCATAAAGACATGGGTGGACTTTAATTCAGGAAATATTTTTCGGGTGACAGTCATTGTTCTGGACATTAAGGAGATAGCAGAGAACAAAATAGAAGCCCTATGTTGAAAGAGTCTACATGAGTATGTGTCCCTGACATTGTAAATGGGGACTCCAAATGTGTTTCCTTGGAGGAAAATGGTTTCACACAGAGATGAGGATTTTTAGGACTGTCTAGAGCCTGAGGTTTGCTATGACTGAGAAGAGGTCTTCTCGCTTAGCCTAGACCCCTAAATGCCATTCTCAGTACTGTTTCTCTATAAATGTGAGTTCAGGGGTCCTAAAAACCAGCTTATGCTGAGACTTGTAGGGACCATCTATCTGAAGAAGACAGCTTTCACAAACTAGGCCTCCAGACATGCTTTGCTTGGTCTAAAGAGTGCTGTCCCAACTTTTAAAATTCAGGACATTTCACTGAAGAATCTGGACTTCTGACTTCTTTTGAAAAGGCTGAGATGTGGCAACCCTGGGCCCACACTCCCACATGACAACTGGCCAGAGCTACATGTGCCCTCAGCTTGGCCAAAGTCCTCACTCCTCCCAATTTCTCCTACACCCCATCTACTTTTTACTCCTTATCTGGCTCTCATAGTCTCTTGTGTTGACACAGGATACGATCTGTGTCCTAGTTCACTTTTGCAATCTGTTTGGGGGGAATAATGCACAGAAATAAGATTAGAAAGTACCACAAGCTCCTGGCCACAGATGGGAAAACAGAGACCAGTGTGTAAACGAGAGTAGGTAACTGAGGTATCCTGGACAAACTAGGATCGGGATTCTGCAGCCACAAGAGGTAGCACCCTTGGGTCTCCATTGCCTCCTTCGTTCCATCCTCACAATAACCATAGGAGGGAGGTTTTGCATCCATGTTTTTTTAGATGAGGAGACTGAAGCTCAGAGACTGGAACCCATGTGCCCATGGTCATGCAGATAGTAAGTGGGAGATAAAAGGGGTTCAGGCAAAGAGGACAGCAGAGCTGGGAGACAAATGTGCCATGTGCTCTGAACGACAGAGACACTGCCTGAGCGGATGTGGATGCTTGCAGAGAAGTATGCAAGAAGAACCGTGGGGTGGGGCCAGACATGAGACACGAGAATATGCCAGACACGAGAATATGGCCTGGCATAAGAGTTTAGTAACCCCTGAGTTCAAGCGGTACTACAAACACGTTATTTTCAGAAGGAAATGGAGTGATATCAGAGAGGACTGAAGAAATAAAGACTCAGAGGCAGGAAAACCCACGTGTTTCTGGGAGGCTGTAGGAATAACAATAATAACGTCATCAATAACAACAACAACTAACATTAATTTAATGCTTAGTGTGTTCCATTTGCCAGCAATGGATTAAATACATAGAATGTAAAAAAAAAAAAAAAAAAAACCCTAGTTTCATAGATTTCATCTTAGACTGAGCAATTGCCTTTAAAAGGTTTGATTTCATTCTTTAGACTGTTACATCGTGGAACATCTTGCAGACACATGAATGAGGCAGCTGGAACTCTCTTCAGGGCAAGTTGTGGGGAAGGGTAAGTATCCCTTTTTGCTTGTCTTTGTTAGTGATTTCCTAAAATTAACTTTGGCCAGAAAAAAAAATTCATGGACACGATTCAACCAGCATTTCAAACCATCAGAATTCATTTTGTAAACAATACATGAGTCTTTTAAATGATAGACAGCCAGCTGAGTTTTTAAAATATGGGAGTGGCATGATCCAATTTGCTCTTGGAAGGGTCACTCTGGCACCTCTGTGGCTGGTGGACATGGTAGACGACTGAGGCTGGCACAGAGTGACTGATCAATGGTATTTATTGAATGAATGAATCAATCCATCAGTGATGGTCTATGAGGGCAGGGAGAACATTTGTGTGATGTGAGAAGAGTAAGAGAAATGAAGTTTTCAGGTTCAGGCAAGTTTTCAGGTTCCTAATTGAGCCCATTGGGTGAATGGGGGCTCCACGGGATACAGCATTAAGAAATGTAGGAGAGGGCCTCCCCCGTGGCGCAGGGGTTGAGTGCTGGGTTGCGGGGGAAAATGCCATGGAGTTAAAAAGCACAGGGTCCCAGGTAAATTCCTGGCTCCTCCTCATTAGTTATGGTGCTTAAGCTCTCTTCCTCCTGTGCCTCAGTTTATATCTGTTGTCCTTATGGCTTGTTTGCTCATTAAATCTGGCCAAGAGATGGGGATTAAAAGATAAGATCAAGGTTAAATTACATCCCATTAAATGAACCCATAGCGGCAACAAACTATTTGAGTCAGATGGTGTAAGTCACTGTTCACATGAGCTGAGCTAATTAAGCAGTCACCTGCCAAAGGCCAGAGTCCTCTCTCTAAATAACCACATTTCTACCCACGTTTGTTCCCCTTACCAGAGCTGCTTCGCCTCAAGGTGCCGAGGTGGCTTATGACTATGAAGCATTTTAATAAGCCCTATGAACAAATAGATGTAATTGGTGTTAAGGGCAACTCTAATGCCTGATGAGTTTCTACAGGAATAGCATCGTGACACCTTACCCCAAACCCCTCGCAGAACCCAGAGGCCCGGGTGTGCCGAAGTTGCTAATTGGAACGTCCGCTTCCTTGAGCAAGGCATGGCAGGAAGAAAGGCAGTTAATTATTTCTCTCCATATCTGATGAAATTTCCCCTTTCCTCCTCACTTTTAGAGGACATCATTAGCCTGACATGGGGAACAATTCTCTATTATACCTGGGGTTTTAATGATCACGCACAAAAAAATGCCCCATTTCTCCCATTTTCTGATTTTCTATTTAACAACTTGATCATATTTGAATCGAGCCTATCCTATTATGGAGAGATAATGAACTCCGTCTACGAGCCAACATGAGTCATTATCTGCAGTATACATTTTTTAAAAAGACCTCCTCACGAGGTTTCGGCATGCGGCATCTTAGGGCACACGGAGGAAGCTTTGTATTAGCACCTTACAATACAGAGCAAACGTCTCAGCACCCAGCTTAATTGTTCCCTCTGTTCTCATTTTAAATCTGTGTTTTCTTCTATGTACACACGGGCTTTCAGCTCAAAGTCTCCACTTCTCCAGTCCTTGGAGACATATCCAGAACAGAACATTTTTTTCCTTCTATTTACCAAAAGAAAAGACAACAGGATTTTAAAAAATTGCTAAAAGCAATAAATTATTACTGAGATTGCCAGGGAGATATGAGGCTTTACATATGGGGTGGTGGTTAACTAAGTGGC